CCTTCTCCAAATCCAGGGTAGCCAGTTTTCCCATTTCCTTTCAGAGGGCCCACATTATCCTTAATCTGTCCTTTGCCATATACTTATAAAGAAGCTTTTCCTGTTATCCTTGACAGCCCTAGGCAGACTCAATTTGAACTAGGCCTTAACTTTTTTGGCCTGATCCCTAGCTTCCTGGACCATGTCCCTGTATTCCTCCCAGGCTGATCCAGTCTAATCCATTATGCTTTGCCTTTTATGGCTTGTGGTAAGGAATAAAAGTACAAAAATTATATTAAAGGCATGTTTAAAACTAAGAATGAGATTCTCTTCAACAGTTACGACTGCATCTTATTGGTAATGGCCTGGTGGAGGTGAATGCCATTTCAATATCTTTACTGCCTCATACTATGTTCAGGTTTCTCCTGCTGTGGAGCCCAATTTCTTGATTCCAATAAACTCATCTGACATTATTTTGTTGTTCTATTTTGAACATATCTGGCCCTCTGACACCGTGGGTACCATTCACTGCAGGTAGAGACTCAAGAACATCTGGAAAAAAAACTAGTTTTAACAGCTGAATTCTTTAAGATTGTAATATAGTTAAGAACAACAGGTGGAAACAATCTTTCACTATTTTATCAAAATTTGGCACAATCAAGATCTAAGCAACCAGCACAGAAAGTTTTCTGTGAAGTACTGATATACGGATCAGTCAAAACCACAAAGTTAAATGTAAACTTATGGCCTAATAAGTCTGCTATAAGCAATTGATCAGTCAGAAGGTTAGACACTTTCTAAAAGCTGAGGCACCTCAAACCCTGCCATAAGAGCAGGGCAGGCAATTCAGAAAGGAGGTTGGCAAGGAGAACGTGTAGTCAGGCTTTTAGTTTCTTCCCCCAAATCAAGTTTTATGGTGCGGCTGAAGCATAACTGAGCTGCTGGTTAATAAGCTTCTCTAGGGATGTCATCAGAAGCCTCTAATGAAAGTGCTCCTCAAGAACCTGAAGCTTGCTTTTAGGACAAACTAGATCATTAAGAGAGTGTCATGGTTTAAGCCCAGCCGGTAACTCCCCCTCCCAGAGGGATGGGGAGAAGAATTGAAAGAATGTAATTCACCCAGGTTGAGCTAAGAACAGTCCAGTAACTAAGGTATAATACAAAACTACTACTGCTGCCACCAATAATAATAACAATAGGGGAAATAACAAGGGGACAGAATATAAAACTAAAAGGGGAAAAGGGAAAGAAAACAATGAACACAAGTGATGCACAATACAATTGCTCACCACCTGCTGACCGATATGTAGCCCAACCCTAGCAGCAATCTAGCCCTTCTGGGTAACTCCCCCCAGTTTAAATACTGGGCATGACATGCTGTGGCATGGAATACCCCTTTGGCTAGTTTGAGTCAGGTGTCCCGTCTCTGCTTCCTCCTGACTTCCCATGCCACTTCTCACTGGCAGAGCATGAGAGACTGAAAAGTCCTTGATCAGGGTAAGCAATAATTAGCAACAGCTGAAAATATTGGTGTGTTATGAGCGTTGTTGTCAGACTAAAGTAAAAAACACAGCACTGCACCAGCTACTAAGGAGAAAAACAGCTGAACCGAGGACAAAGGAAAATGAAAAAAGTTTTAAACTAAAGGCCTTGAGATAAGCAAACACTTTTTCCAAACATCAAGAAGTTGCCACATGAAGGGGGGGGGGGGGAAGTAATCTCATTAGGAGTTAGTCTGAAGAAGGCAACACTGTTAATGAAAATATAAAGAAAACTCATCCATCATTCTGGCCATCGCCCTTAAATCATCCAGTCTTCCATGCCTAAGATGGAAACAGTGACTGCTGACTTCTTTGCTAAGAATGTCAGCGCATGGGGGGAAGCAACACCTAAGCACTGTGTGTCACAGCCCTCTGCAGATTCCTGAAGCTACACAAGAAACTTGGCAAAAGCTTCTGAATAATCTCTTTTAAGACTTTGACTTATGTTAACCACTACAGCTGTGGTGCCAGGTCAGCTCAGAACAGCATGGGAGGCAGACCAAAGTGGCAGTGCTTGAAAGATTTAAGCTGGAGTCTACGTACTTCTAAGCCTGCTTAACTAAGCTTCAACTCCCCACACATATGTGGAAAAATAAAGAATTCCTTCTCCCTCCTCATACCCCATCAAACAGCCAAAAGAGATATCCTCAGGACATGCATTTATGGAGAAGCAGTGAAAGTAAGAAAAATTGGACCTGTTTCTCGGCAAGTTGAAAGCAACAGAAATTCCTACCTCTATTGGCTGCTGTTGTTGGTCCTGCAAAGGAATTTAATACATTGCTCAAGATCAATTATTTCAAGGTGCAGAATTACATGACAGAAGCAAACTAAATTTATAAACAACAGGGTTTTCATAATTTTATTTATACTACTAGCTAGAAAGAAAGCATACATATATTGTATCTGTCATACAGTCAATACATTTGAGGGTGTTTTTTTTCTACTATAAATTCTCTATGCAAAGTCATTGCCATTGGTCATTGATGGCATAGAGCTTAAAATAACCACGAGGTATAAAAACAAGTTTGCCATCTTGCCCTGAGCGGAAATGGTGAACAGATACAAAAAAACCCTGGATCCTAAATACTGATGTAGTATCATACATGATTTAATGGTATATGCAAATAAGAAGTCATGCAACTTTTAAAAATACCTGACAAGTTTTACTTGAGTAAAATCATAAAAGTCAGTAGTAGTTATGAAAAAATGTTCCTGCCACTAGGTACTCATTATGCAATTTCAGTGACAACCTTGCAGACTGGGTATTTCATGTTATATTTGAGTGCCAACACTGAAAGTATCCATTTCCTTTAATGTTTTAAAACCCATGTGTCTATATAAACAAAAAATTAACATATCTTTTTTAAAAACTAGCGAAGGAAAAGCCACCTTTCCTTTTCTCACTATTTTAGATCAGTGGCGACAACATAGAATCATAGAACAGTTAGGGTTGGAAAGGACCTTAAGATCATCAAGTTCCAACCCCTCTGCCATGGGCAGGGACACCTCGCTCTAAACCATATTACCCAAGGCCTCGTCCAACGTGGCCTTGAACACTGCCAGGGATGAAGCATTCACAACCACCCTGGGCAACCTATTCCAGTGCCTCACCACCCTAACAGGAAAGAATTTCCTCCTTATATCCAATCTAAACTTCCTCTGTTTAAGTTTTAACCCGTTACCCCTTGTCCTATCACTACAGTCCCTAATGAAGAGTCCATCCCCAGCATCCCTATATGCCACCTTAAGATACTGGAAGGCTTCTATGAGGTCTCCACTCAGCCTTCTCTTCTCCAGGCTGAACAACCTCAACTTTCTCAGCCAATCTTCATATGGGAGGTGCTCCAGTCCCCTGATCATTCTCATGGCCCTCCGCTGGACTTGTTCCAACAGATCCATGTCCTTTTTATGTTGAGGACACCAGAACTGCAAACAATACTCCAAGTGAGGTCTCACGAGAGCAGAATAAAGGGGCAGGATCACCTCCTTCGACCTGCTGGTCACACTCCTTTTGATGCAGCCCAGGATACGGTTGGCTTTCTGGGCTGCAAGCGCACACTGCTGCCTCATGTTCATTTTCTCATCAACCAACACCCCCAGGTCCTTCTCCACATGGCTGCTCTGAATCTCTTCTCTGCCCAACCTGTAGCTGTGCCAGGGATTGCTCTGACCCAGGTGTAAAACCTTGCACTTGGCATGGTTAAACTTCAAGAGATTGGCATCAGCCTACCTCATAGGCGTGTCAAGGTCCCTCTGGATGGCATTCCTTCCCTCCAGCGTATCAACCGAACCACACAGCTTGGTGTCATCGGCAAACTTGCTGAGGGCGCACTCAATCCCACTGTCCATGTCAGCAACGAAGATGTTAAACAAGACCAGTCCCAACACCGATCCCTGAGGGACACCACTCATTACAGGTCTCCAGGCGGACATTGAGCCATTGACCACAACTCTTTGTGTGCAGCCATCCAGCCAGTTCTTTATCCACCGAGTGGTCCATTCATCAAATTGATGTCTTTCCAATTTAGAGACAAGGATGTTGTGTGTGACAGTGTCGAACGCTTTACACAAATCCAGGTACATGACATCAACTGCTTTACCACTGTCCATCAATTCTGTAGCCCCATCATAAAAGGCCACCAAATTGGCCAGGCAGGATTTCCCCTTAGTGAAGCCATGCTGGCTGTCACCAAGCACCTTTTTTTTTTCATGTGCATTAGCATGCCTTCCAGGAGAATCTGCTCCAAGATTTTTCCAGGCACATAAGTGAGACTGACTGGTCTGTAATTCCCTGGGTCATCCATTTTCCCCTTCTTGAAAATGGGGGTTATATTTCCCTTTTTCCAGTTGTCGGGAACTTCACCTGACTGCCATGATTTTTCAAATATAATGGCCAGTGGCTTAGCAACTTCATTTGCCAGCTCCTTCAGGACCCGCGGATGGATTTCATCAGGACCCATGGACTTGTGCACGTTCAGATTTTTGAGATGGTCTTGAACCAATTCCTCTTCTACAGTGGGCCAAATGTCTTCATTCTCACAGTCCCTGCGTCTGCCTTCCAAGATTTGGGTGGTGCAGTCAGAGCCATTGCTAGAGAAGACCGAGGCAAAGAAGTCATTCAGAACCTCAGCCTTCTCCAAATCCTGTGTATCTAGTTCACCTGAGAGCTTCCTGAGGGGGCCTACGTTCTCCCTAATCTGTTTTTTATTTGCTAGTTACCTGTAGAATCCCTTCCTGTTATCCTTGATATCCCTAGCCAAGTTTAATTCTAACTGGGCCTTACCTTTCCTAACCTGGTCCCTGGCTTCCTGGACAACATCCTTGTACTCTTCCCAGGCTGCCTGTCCTTGCTTCCACTTTCTATAAAACTCTTTTTTCATTTGAATTTTCCTCAGGAGCTCCTTATCCATCTAAGGAGGTTTCCTGGCCCTCCTGCTGCACTTCCTTCTGGTTGGGATGCAACACTCTTGAGCTTGTCTCATCCCTCACTGTTTGGCAACTCCTTCTACATTTTAATCTGGAAAAATCATAAGACAGTCAACAAAACAAGTCTTTTATTAACTATTGTTCCCTAAAAAGATCATCACAAATCAGTTGGAATTGTAAAGTTGCTATAAGGTGTCTGTAACTATTAGAATGAACTTTCAGATCTAAATATATATATTATATATATTCTGCATACAAAAGGCTCTTGTGAGGCTTACCACCAAGATGAGAAGGAAAGTTTCAAAGGGAACAAACCATATACTGTAAAGTCTCTATAAGGCATTTGCCTTTCACTTTAAGCCCTGTATTATGACAATTAAATTCTGAAAGTAACTGAAATAGAAATTTTGCATGTTCAGTTTCTTTGTGCTAAGAGCAAGGCAGCAAACACATTTTTTAAATCTGGTTTTAGAAGATTAAACAGAACAGAAATAAAATATATCTTCAGGTTATAAACAGAACTGTATTTTACAATCCACAATCCTCACAATGGTCCACAGCAGTGCAGCAGAGGGATCTTAGTCTAAAGGTTGTGGGTCTGCAATAGGCATGGTATGAAGTACTTCATCTAGAAGCTGGAGGGCACGGTGTAAGTGAATTTCAATCCAGCATGGCGTCTCTTTGATGCTCTGTCTTGGATAATCAGGTCCCCAACCTTTTACAAAACTCATCCTGAGTATGCATAAGCGGCGAAGGTCATCTACACCAATTCCAGCAGCAGCTGACAAACCTAAACAGGAGAGGTTTCAAGTAAGTGTTCACAGATATGTTCTTTTATCTTTGTTTAGCCGTTCCCATTTACTTGTCTCTTTCTTCCCATACAGTGCCCTCTACCACAGGCAAAGCCAATCCACATTCCTAGATCTCAATTATTTTGTATTTCTTCCAATTAATTTATTTTCATCATTCTGCAATCTGGAAAGGCTGCTGAAACAGAAAACTCCATATAATAAAGCAGACATGATGAAACACAATGTCTTATGTGATACAAGGCATGTAAACATTATTTAGGAAATGCAGTCAGAAAATATTTATTCTTGAGGTTTGCACATGCTGCATTTTCACCATAAGAATTCAGACTGACCACCTGCAGGAAGCTTGATTTCCAAACGACACTACTTACATGTAATAAAATTAAAATACTAATACAGCTAGCAAACTTCAAATCACAAATATGGTCAAGACAAAAGTTAAATACAAAAAGCAATTTGTAGGATAGCTGGAAAGAGCCACGAGGAATCCAGGAAACACTATAGCACATAAAGCACCCCGAGATATGCAAGTACTTAAGCTTTTAAAAATATTTAGGGACAATCTAGAATTCATTAACTACAAAAACTCTAGCCCAGAATGACTTAAAAAAAAGAGACAGAAGAGAAAGAGAAAAAATACTCTCTTCTTCACACTCTCTTCTTCCTCTTCTCAAGAATCTTAATATTATGTTTTCCTAAACCTAGTCAAGAACTTTGTCACCCAGTAATCCCATTGTTTTGAGTAACATTCTATGAGCTTATATTTCAAAGATCATTTTCCAGGCTTGGGTCTAAGCAGCCAAAAGTATCTTTGTTTAAAGTAATAGGGTATGCTATTTGACTTTGTATGTAATGTGCTTTCTGTGGTAGTACAACGCTTCTTGCAGAACAGTAAGCAGCCACTTCCCTATCCAATATTCCCTGAAGGCTAGAGTGAAAACTGATGTGAAACAGGTACAGAGTGAATTAATATAGTGACCAGGATGCCACCCACCCCAATACTGCTACCTCACTCCCAGTTTATTTGTACTGTTGCAAGGGCAGTGGGTGGGGATGTGTGCTGTTATGAGGGATTGCTCTGTTATTTATTTTCAGGTAAAGAAAAAAAGGAGACCAAGCAGTTAATGTACTTACTAATGGCTGGGGCTATTCCACCTACTGATCCTGGTCCAGGAATGTTTCCTGCTACTGCTGCAGCTTGAGCAGCAGCAGCAGCTTGGGCAGTGGCAGCCTGCTGTTGCATCTGACGATGACACTGGCGTAAGTCAAACACCTTTAAAAAACAAAACAAAACAAAACCAAACCAACAAACAAACACCACAAAACCAACCAAACAAACAAAAACCTCACAAACAACACCCCCCCCGCCCCAAAAAAAAATTAACTATGTAGACTTACCAAAATCAATGAAGGAAAGAATCCCTCAACTCCCACCCCCAATAATCTGGACCTCTCTGCTTTCCCAAAACAGACTTCTACAGTCTCAGCATATACCTGAGTAAAAGCAAACCTGCCCTGACTACTTGAATTTCTAACAGGAATAATCCATTAAAGCTGTTTCTTAGAAACTCTTCTCATACAATATTACCACCACTGACAATTCCAGAACCTGTCTGAGCTGAGCAGCCTAAAGCAGTACCCTACGCGGGACTGACTACAGGATCAAAGTCTGAAGGATACTACAAGTTGATAAAATCCCAACTTTTTAGTTAAATTCTAAGATTTCCACAAAAAAGGCATGTAAATAAAAAGAAGCCAACAAATCCTGCTTAAATTTGTCAGACTTTGTTCTTCTTTACTGCCTTACTGAAATGTGTTAGTCTATTTAGAAGAAATACCAATTGATAGGCCTGAAGTTTCATTTCAGCAGCTGGGTTTGAGTTTGATGGCATTTTATATCTTTGTGATCAGGCTTGGCACTAATATATAAAGGAATGCTGTTCTCATACTAGAAAGCCTGTGTGTAGAGGCTGCTGGGGTCTCTTTCACTTTCATTACATAACCTGCCTGCAAAACTGAAGATAAAAAACCTCAGCCAACCAACCAAAAAAAAACCAACAAAACACCCCCAAAAGAAAAAAAAAAACACTCACCACCCACAAAAACAAAACAAACCCCAACCAACAAAAAAAAAAACCACCAAAAAACCCAAAACCCTCCAAAACTAAAAAATGACACACACTTCAAGCAGCTTCTCTCTAATTCAAGAATGATTTTTTTTTCTTTTTTTTTAACAAGTGTGACTTGTCTTAAAGTCCAGCAGAGGCATGTCCAAATAAGAATCTCCTGAAAATAATTTGTTTCCATGCAACTTAGTGCCCTCTGGATCACTTCAGGTTTGTAACACTTTAAAACACACTTGATGTTTCTGCACTTACACAGACTTTCCCAACTGTTCTTGTTTTGGAGAGAGAGTGAAGCGATAATCTATGCTAAAAAATTTAATAGTAGTAGTTAATTTAAAACTGTAAGGTTAAAAGTATAAAAACTGATATCAAGACTGATGAAATACAAAATTAGTTACTTTTGTAATAGCTAGATGAGAGAATTTAGAATAATTTTAAAAAGTCATCTTAAGTGACTTGTAAATAAATTATCCTTTTAAAAACCCTAAAAATTTCCATTTGACATTTATTTCAGTGTCTCATAGCTTCCCTAATGTTTACAAGAACCAAATGTAGGCAGTTTCCCCCACAATTTTCATCTAGGAAGATCAAACCAACCTTTATATATGCACTTGGGTAAATCTTGTGAACAGCATCCCCTGGTGCACGCCCTGCTTCTCTATCCAGGTAGTAACTCTGAACGAAGACTGCATGGTCACTGAGGCATCTAACCCACACATCACCTTCTCCTTTGCACTCCAGCTGCACACCTTTACCTATGTGCAACCTTAAAAAGAAAAATGGTTCCAATACATCTCTGTATACATACTATATAACTCAGACCTTCACTAAATAAACATAAGTCTCCAGCACTTGGTCATCTGTGGTGCCTTAATTTATACTCCACTCACCCAAGGATTTCAAATTGTAGTTATTATCTTAAGTGCAAGTTAGTAGATAGTTACACAAAACCGTAAAGTAAAAAAACAACTGTAATACCACACAAAGATCTACACGAAACACTGCATGCAGAAGTAGTGATATTCGAGTAGCAACTACTGCCCTCATTGACAGTATAGAAGTACAAAGCTGCAATACCAAACAACTTCAGTTCTGTTCAGAAGTGTAAAATCCCACAAGTAGTCCAGTACAGAAAGTCATTCAAGTACATACACAAAGCCGCATTTTAATGTGGTGTAGGCTTAAATTGTAGGTTTAAACTAACAATAGTGTGTGTGTAGCTTTAAGCTAACGTAGTAGAATAGAGCAAACTGTTCTAACTTGCTAACACAAAGAGAGAAAGGAGCATTTGGCTGATGGGGGAAGGAATATTGCGGGACTGATAACAACAAAGGGAACAGTAAACAAGACCAAGGATGCCAGCCTTCAAGATAGCAGAGTGGTGCCCAGCGGAGTGAGACTGGAACAGAACAGAAGCAAAGACATACCAACTGCTAACTCAGCACTAGGACCTTGCGAGCATGTGCAGACATTGAGATCATTCAATAAACACAGTGAGGAAGACTATCAGTGACCACCAGAAACACCCACTCGGCAAGGAAGTGCAAGCGTAAATGGAATACAGATATTATAATTAGTTCCAGGAGATCTCATGAATATGTAAATAATTTCCTGGAAAATCTGTAAATATGCATGAGTATGCTGAATATATAGCTACTGCAGGCAAGTAACAGGTGCGCTCACCTTTGTGAAACAATTTCTGTGTGCGTCCAGGGCTACAATAAAGAATGCCTGCTTTCTAAAACTCCAAATCGAGTCTTAGAGAGTTTCTCTGACCAACTTTTACAGTAACACAATAACTGTATGTTCGTTTGTATCACATTACAGCAATCTAGCATTTCGCTCGTCACAATGCAATGTTTCTGAAGATATGGAATAACTTTCTTCCTTTTTATTTCAAAAAGGAAAAAAGTTGCAAGACTGCTCTGGTTCTCTGTGCTTCCACAAAGCCCAGCACATGCACAATAAGAATGAATGAAAATCCAACTAGCTCTCAATCAACCTTCCTTTGCTCCTTTGACAAATCTATGTATTACAGTTATTCTCACATTATTCTAGCATGGAGAGCTAATCTTCACCTGCAGGGAATGCACAATCTGCAGCAGAGCAGGGGCCGACAGGTAGGTTTTCGTGAGCAAGGGAAACCCAAGGGGGGAGAGCCAGCAGCTTGCACGATAATAGCTTACATGATGTGGGAGGGCCCAGAAGTAACCCAGACCCTCCACCAGCAATTCTAGGAAGCACTGTGAACAGAATGTAGAGATAAGGGCATGTACGAAGGGCATCTCTTCGAAGTAGAGATTCCACAGGCCACCTGTACAAGTTGTGGCATTCGTTCTACCAGACTCTCAAAGCAGAACAGGGGGCAGTCATCAGAAAGCAAAGGCTGCAGCTCCAGCAGGGGGCCCTGCACCGTCTACCCAGGGGTGATGAGACAAAGGGGCACAAAATCACAAAATGGAATATAGAAACTTTTATAATTAGTTTTAAGTAATGTTAAGTTTGATGACTTTGTAACAGTAGCAATGGAAAATTACTGATTCAGTGATGCCGTCAGCGTGGGTCCCTGAATAGCCCTCCGATATGGTGGGCTGTTCAGTATGGTTCCCACAGTGGGATGCAGACAGGCTGGTCGGACACAAGGGTCTCATCCTTCCTGGGACACTGACAGGCTGGTCAACTATAAAGGGTTCAAGGAAACCCCCCTATTAATGTTACAATATGGTCTGAGCTATAAGGGTTAGGAAGTATTGCTTTTGGTTCTACTGGTATTCGCCTTATTTTGTGGCTTGTTACAGTAATGATTTTGGTCTTGTGATTTTGGTACTGGTGACAGGATGTTATAACTGTGTTATTAACTTGTTTGTTTGGTTGAATTTAAGTCTCTGTCTTTGTCTCAAGTGTTGTAACTGTGTGGAGTATGTCTGGGGATCCCATCTGTGTGTGTGTGTGAATGTGAGATTGGTAATGGAAAATCAGCAGAATGAAGAGATCTTGAAAAAGAATCCTTTTGGGTGCATTTTGGCACACTGGAAAGAACTTGGAGGGTCTCCTGCGGGCTTGGTAAATAAGAAAATATTGGTAAAATATTGTAACCAATGATGGCCTTTGTACAGTTTGGAAGATCAGGGAAAATGGCCTAAAAATGGAACTCTGAACTATAATACATTGTTAAAATTAATGTTGTTTTGAGGGGGCAAGGAAAATGGGATGAACTAATGTATGCAGATATGTTTTCCACTTTAAGAAATCACACAGAGTGACAGACTGAATGCAAAATTAATATAGCTCAGCCAGATTCCTTAATTTTGGCTTTGGAAAAGGACAGGGAAAAAAAAAAGGGAAAAGTGAAGCTGGAGATGCTCAGCCTGTGATATTGGGGAAAGATGTTTAAAGTTAAAAAACAGTAATCAGGAAGTGTGATGAGTGAATTCCTGTTTGTTAATCAAATCTTGTTTGCTTAAAAGTTAATTGTTTAAGAGTTGCTTGCTTGCTTAAAGGTTACTGGAAAATTTTGACACTTTGACATTTGGCTTATAGACTGTAAGCATCTGTTAAAGTAAACTAGGTATGGAAAAGAAGATAAAGAGCCTTCCTCCCTACACCCACCGGGAGGCAGAATGAGACCCCTTATTAGTGGGCCACACAAACGCAGAGTACGCCAAGAGTAGCATGTACACTGGATAAAGAAGAGTATAAAATCAGTGACTTTGGGGAAATGGGGTGTGTGAGGTATATAGGAATGATTAGTGTCAGCAACTTAGGAGTCCTTGTCATCATTGTACTTTGGGTGGAATCGAAAATCATGTGTAGAATGTGTACCAATGATTAGATTAAGATAGATGTTCCTGTCAATACAATGATGAAAAAGAAGAAACAAAGGAATAATCATTCCTAATCAAACACTTTGTTACTTTAAGGGGTACTTTGTTTAACTGCTTGAATATCTCAAACTCTTTGCTAATTACAGGGGTACTTTGTTTAACTGCTTGAATGCCTTGAGGGGGTTAGGTAATCAAGAGATACCTTCTGTTACAGGATGAGGTGAAACTTGTGTATTGAATAAGTAACTATATAAGAAATGGAATTTGGGGGAGGCTAAAATAGTGGTTAACCCTGTGACAGACATCCCCAGTTAATGTATTGCCAAGGAATTCAATAACTTTTTAAGAAGTTTCTTCACCCAGAGATAAGACCCCAGCAACAGGAGGAGAACAATGAAAAGGAACCACGTCGATATTCGGGCGAAAGAGATGACAGGATTGGTTGAAACACAAGACAGAGGAGTATAAGAGACTGTACCCAGAAATCTCGGTGCGTGCCGTTGGCGGAGCAGAGACTCCCCGGCTGCCCAGCGCTGTTTTGCTTGCTGTCGCTTGCTCAATAAACCAATTTGATTCATTCGCTTGGCTCTAGTCAATTTATTTGAGCCACAATTTATAACAGGAAGATAGGGTGAAAAATCATGTACCACAGGTACCTTCGAGAGGAGCACCCTCTGCATCTGTCCTATCTGATGTTGATAAGGAGGAAGAGATTTCTGTCACTGGCAACAAGCAGCACATTCACATTCAGAGTTAAGAAGGGGTTAAACGAGAAGTGCTGTTGCAGAGGCAGGCATCTGCAGGACCTGCAGAGCAAGGGGAGCCGCTGTGAGAAAAAATAAAAAAAAAAAAAAGGGAAAACCAAGGGGGAAAGGAGGGGAGCTCTAGCAGCTCCAGTGTTTGAGTGTGGGAGGAGGGATGTTGGAGGAGGTGGGGGAGTGGGCTCTTCTCTTCTGTGGGACCTGATCAGTGTGCGTGTGCTGTGGGGAGTTTTGAACGTTGGAAGTGTGACCGCCCTGGAGGTGGGAGTGCCATGGGGTGGCTCTAGTGGCTGAATTGGAACTAGACCGGCAAGGGACCTGGGGAATCTACCCTAGCAGATCCAGTGGTTAAATTAAAACTATGAATTAGAGGAAATAAAGTGGAATTTTAGTGGATACAGGAGCAACTTATTCGGTGTTAAATCAGAGGGAAAGGAATTTGTTACAGATGTGAGAGCTACTGGCCACCAAAAAAACAGAGAGAGAAAAAAAAAAAAAAGGCATTCTTTCTGAAAACTTTAAAGTACAAATTGGGGAAACAAATAGGAATGCATAAATTTTGATGCATGCCAAATCCTCCAGAAATCTTTATTAGGGTGAGAAGCAACATTTAAGGAAGGCAAAATGGAATTCAGAGTTAAAAACAACCAATTAATTGCAGTTTTGAGTTTATCTTTAATTCAACATAAAAGTAAAAAGAAGGACCTCCCTGAAATAGAAGAAATCCTTAATCAGGTATATGTGGGAGTATGGGAATCTGAAATTCCAGGTAAGGCAAAAAAATGCTTTGCCTGTTACAGTGGAAATAAAAAAGGGGGCCTGCCCAATTAGAATAAAACAGTATCTCTTAAAATTAGAAGATCAAAGGGAATTAAAAAAAATTGATACATTTTAAAATATAGATTATTAATTGAATGTGAATCGGAATATAATACTCCTATCTGGACAGTAAAGAAATATGATAAGAAAAGTTGCAGACTGGTTCAAGATCTCAGGGCAATCAACAAAATTGCAGAGGATATTCGTCCAGTAGTAGTTAATTCGTATGACTGATTGACTAAATTGAATAATAATCAGAAATGGTTTACCGTTCTGGATTTAAAGGACACTTTTGCTTACCATCGGCCAAAGAAAGACACAATTATTTGCTTTCAAATGGGAAAATCCTGACAGAGGAAGGG